CCGCATTAGCTACGGGGTGAACCATGGTTACTATCGCTGCTGCCGGCCTACGAACGACTTAGTAGGTGCAAAAGTTGGCTCCTATCTGAAGGTCGCGTGTTCGATCCACGCTCACCGCACCATGCGGAGATTCACTCTACAACGGTAGTGAGCTAGACTATGGGGTTGGCACAAACTACTAGGAGTGATCATAGCTTTACCTAGTTCCTTAGTGCTTGCACAATCACAGGAGAAATCGGCAAGAGTTTCCACTAGCAAAAGTTGGAATTACAGAAAAATGTTAAACAGGCAATGACAACAATGACTACATCAGGCACCTAGCAACTCTGCAGCTAGCCTGGTCGACAGACAGCACAGCATGGTCGACCGCCTGCCAGCGTTGCGTAGAGGAGCAGCGCCAGCACTGCAGAAAGGCGACCTGCCAACACAGCAGGTCGACGGTGTGCCAACGCTGCAGCAGAGTGGCTGTCCAGCGTTGCCCCGTAGAAGACAGCAGTGCGCACGTTCGCAGGTGCGCGCAGACGATTGGCCCGACTTGCATCGTTGTGCATCCGTCGGCTATTGACTGCGCCTGACGAGCCACATCGACTTCGGGATACCAACCCGAAGTCGCCTTCGCCATCGCGACCTCGACGACGTTCACATGCCTCTGCAGAACTCGCCGAGCAGGTAACCCAGTCGACGTGGGCAGCCCTAGGTGCTCTGGTCGACCACTAAGTGCCCCTGGTCGACCACCGGGTCCCTCTGGTCAACTACCAGGTGACCTTGGTCGACCACAGCTTCCGTCGAGCAACCCCTTGGTCGACGGACCCCTTCCGTCGACCAGAAATGTCAGCTGTTGTCGCCAAGCTCCCCTCGTCGATCGGTGCTCACTTGTCAGGTCGACGGACTACTCCGTCGACCTCCCGGTCGAACTGCCCCTCCTGGTTGACGGTCCACCCGTTGCCCAGACCAGTCAGTTGCAGCTGTCGAGCTCCCTGGTCGACAGCAACACCACAGCGGTCCCCTGCAGCTCGCCAAAGCCTGTTGAGCAGCTCTCCCACTCTGAACGGACGGTTGCTACTCCCGTACATCCGACCAAGTCGTCGGCGTTGCCCAAGCGAGGGCGGGGCCAACACTCCACTCCCGTTCACAGTCGACCCCTGACCGGTTGCACGCGAGGCTCGCGCACGTCGGCGTCGACACGATCAAGAGCTCGGCGAAGCATGAAGTTTCTAATAGGCTCGACATCCAGCCGTCGACCGGAGCAGACCCGCCGTGTGTCTCGTGCGTCGGAGGAAAGCCGGCGCGGCACACCTTCCCCGACAAGGGCTCGGACGCCAAGGAGGCAATGGCTGTCGTACGCGGGTGTGGGGCTGCACGGTACAGTTCATGGTTCCTGAGCAGCAGCGTGGTGGGAATCTGGCTCCGAAAGCTCGCTGGGGGCTTCACCTGGGTGTGTCGCCGGAGAGCAAGGGCTGGGAGGTGCTCGACCTGACCGACAACAAGGTGGTCACGTCGATCGAGGTGATCTTCTACGAGATGTTGTCGCTAGAGGTGTGGAAGGCGCTGTATGGGGCGGCGTCAGGGCGGACGCAAGCACACCCGTCGATGGACACCTCGACGTGTCAGAATAATGAACAAAAAAGAATGAACTATGAAACAGTTGGGTACAAGTACTAACCCTAATTGGGTTGTACCCCTTATGGGCTACCCCACTATAGCCTACACAAATGTAAGCACTATATGTTCTGACACACCCCCATAGGCAAAGTGGGGGAGAACAAGTGGTCACAAGACCAGTCAAGAAAATCAAAGCAAGCTCAGGGTGGATCGCAAAGTCACCACACAGTCCGAGCACAAGCAAAGGGCCACAAGGCCAGTTCACATGCAGAGTTATATAAAAGAGAACTAACAATACAGTGATCATACCCTAGCAAGTGTAAGCATGCAGGTATATACATATATATCACAGTACAAGCAAGTCAAGCAGTGAGCAAGTGAAGCAAAGTAGGCACAAGGCCTAACACAGTAGAGAAGCGCTGATGATCACCAGGCGGAAGTGCCTTGGTGAATATATCAGCAGTGTTGGCCCTAGTGGCCACGTACGCAAGACGAAGCAGGCCAGAACTGGAGGCGAATGAGGCTGCTCTCCCAAGTCAGTCAGCAGGTAGGTGAGCCAGCATAGCTCCTGTGCAGCCATGGCCCCTGCGTAGATCTCAGCCTCACAACTGGAGATGAGAACCGAAGACGAGCGGGTAGACCGCCAGGAAATAGAGCCGAAACCAAGGCTTAAGGTGTAACCCTGTGACGACCGCTGCGTAGCTGAGTCGTCAACCCAAGAAGCGTCTGCGTGACCAGTGAGGACAACTGGACCCCGTCCTCCAAGCACGAGCCCCATGCCCAACATACTGCACAAGTAACGCAGCACCCTCTTCGCAGCATCCTAGTGCACCTTTCGGTGCCTACCTGGAGCCACGTAGCGAGCTAGAAGGCTGAGAGGGTACACGAGGTCAGGTCGAGTGCACGTCATCAGGTACATGAGGCAACCCACAAGCTCTGGGTATGGACCACTCGGCTCTACGGACTCGTTCGAAGGTGGAGCTGAGAGCGAGTTACCGGTAGACAGAGGAGTGGGCTGTGGCGAGGAGTAGGTGAAGCCGAAGCGCTGAAGGACCTGCTGCACCATGTGTGACTGAGTCAAGGTAATGGTGTGCTGTGCTCTGTCCCGGGTGATCCGCAAGCCAAGATAGCTTGTCAGCTCACCCAGGTCTGTGCACGTGTGTCTCTTCTGCAGCTCGGACTTCACGTGGGCGAGTGCCTCCGTGTCAGCAGTAGCAAAGACAAGGTCGTCTACGTACACAAGAACGTAGAACGGCGGCAGAGTAGCGTCAGTGCGTAGAAACAGAGAAGGGTCAGCAGTGGAAGGAGCAAAACCAAGAGCAGCAAGAGTCGTCCTGAGCGTGTCGTGCCACTCACGGGGCGCCTGGCGGAGACCGTAGACTGGCCGCCGGAGGCTCCACTGGGTACCAGCAGGAAACGACCCAGTGAAGCCATGTGGGCGGCGCAGCCAGATCTCCTCGTGCAGGCTGCCCTGTAGGAAGGCTGTGCTGGAGTCAAGCGAGTGGAGCTCGTAGTCACGCTGAGCAGCAACGTGCAGCAGTACCCGAAGAGTGGTCATCTTCGGGGTAGGGGAGAAGGTGTGAAAGAAGTCAACTCCCTGTCGCTGACTGAAGCCACGTGCAACGTAACGCACCTTGAAGGCAGGCGGAGAACCCGGCGGCCGCTTCACCCTGAAGATCCACATGCCACTGACGATGTTCGCCCCAGGTGGGGGAACCTCGTCTACGTAGGTGCCTGTGGACTTCCAGGAAGTCATCTCTGCGTCCATGGCTGCCTGCCACTGAGAGGAGTAGGGACCCTCTATCGCCTCTGCGTAAGAGCGCGGGGTCGGGATGTCTAGTGCATCCAGGTCTCCCTCAGGGGCAAGCAACATGGACACGAGATGAGGTGAAGCAGCGGCAAAGCACTCAAGGTCCTCCTGTCTGTCCTCAAGAACGTCCGTGCCAAGAGCACACTCACCCCCGACGGACGGAGGACAGACAGACGCAGACGCAGCAACAAGACTAGTGGCGTAATCTAGGCGACATGCTGCAGCAAAGTCAACAAGCTCAGCAACAAGAGCAGACGCAGCAGAGGACTCAAGCAGAGGGTCAGTGACAGCAGTGGCCAGAAAGCGCGTGACAGTAGGACTAGCAGCACGAAGGGAGTCAGACTCCGGGTCCGGACCGTCAGGAAGAGAGGACGCAGGAGGAGAGGGCAGAGGGACACGCTGTGAAGCAGTAGAAGGACGCAGTGTCATAGAGTGAGTGCCTGGGACAGGTGGAAGACGTGGACGCAAAACGCGACCAGCGCGAACAGTGCGGACAGGCGACGCAGAACGAGACGCAGGCGACACAGGACGCGACTCCGGCTCACGACGCTCCGTAAGACCTCTAGTCGGACCAGAGTAAGGAGAAGGACCAGGCAGGGGAGGGGCCGGCTGCAACTGCGACTGAGACTGGACAGGCGGTGGACTCAGGAAAGGAGGAGGAGGACCAGGAGAAGGCGGGGAGCCAAGAACCTGCTGAAGGAGGGGAACGTAGTACGGCCGCGGCCGCGCAGCGCCTCGAGAAACAGCAGAGACAGAACCGGTACCCTCAGCCCCAGGGTCTCCAGTCCCAGCAGCACCTCCAGCAGCTCCAGCACTAGCACCAGCAGCACCTCCAGCAGCTCCAGCACCAGCACCACCTCCAGCAGCACCAGCACCTCCAGTAGCTCCAGTAGCAACTCCAGCACCTACAGCACCAGCAGCACCTCCAGCAGCTCCAGCACCAGCAACACCTCCAGTAGCTCCAGCACCAGCACCATCTCCAGCAGCGCCAGCACCTCCAGTAGCTCCAGGAGCACCTCCAGCACCTACAGCACCAGCAGCACCTCCAGCAGCTCCAGCACCAGCAGCACCTCCAGCAGCTCCAGCACCAGCACCACCTCCAGCAGCGCCAGCATCTCCAGTAGCTCCTGTCGCACCTCCAGCACCTCCAGCAGCTCCAGCACCAGCAGCACCTCGACAGCGCCGAGAGTACATCACGAAGACGCTGTGGAGAGAGGGGCTCCCGCCGCGACGGGACACCCAGAGCACCTCCAGACTCAGCACCCCCAGTCTCAGCACCCCCAGTCTCAGCACCCCCAGTCTCAGCACCCCTAGCAGCACCTGAGTCGACAGCTACCTCGACCGGCTCGGCAGGGTCTACCTGGGACACACCTGAGGGGGCAGGACCCTGGGGGGGAGGGGGTCTACCAGGGGAGTACCTGGTGCGAGGACGAGCGGCGGGGGGGGGGGAGAGGCAGTGCGGTAGGGAAAGAGGGCCTCAGGAGGTCGGAGGAAAACTCCCCGCCTCTGTCCGAGTGAAGGCGCAGAACAGGAAGGTCTGAGCCGAAACTCTCACTAAGCTGGCGACGAGCACCGCGGATCCAGTCGATCAACACCTCAGTGACCTCACCCTTGCTGCGCAAGGGGAAGACTGTGGTGTAACGCGAGTAGTCGTCAACGACCAGGAGGAAGTAGCGCTCGTGACCCTGTCCACGGACGCGGGCTGGGCCCCACACGTCCATGTGAAGAGTCTGCAGAGGGGCCTCAGTCGGAGGAAACGAGGAGGAATGAGGGGCGGCGCGCTGCCGGCCCTCGACTCAAGGAACACAGGTGGGGGCAGGCCCCGGAGGAAGGGGAGGGAGGGACCTGGGTAGACCCGAGACAAGGGCACGGGAGGCCATACCTCGAAGACGAGGCAGGGACGGGTGACCAAGGCGGTGGTGCCAAAGGAGAGTCTCGTGTGCCAAAGGACGACACGAGCAGGGGGCAGACGCAGGACTAGACCTGGACGCGGCAGCAAACACCTGATTGGACGCAGCTACCTGACCAGACGCAGAGACCGGAGGAGGCGCAGTAGTCAGTGTGTACAGACTCGACCCTGGCCGACGGGTGAACGTGGCCAGGAGACGGCCCGTCCAAGAGCAAGTGCAGTGGGTCACACGCTGACCTCCAGGGGTGAACTGGTCAACCCACGCGTCCTGGAGGTCAGCTCCACTCACCAGGTTCGTAGAGAACGAGGGGAGGTGGAGTCCCGACAGCAAGCCCGACGGGGCCGCAGGACACGGTAGGACAGTGGAGGAGTGTGCAAGTACTGGGCCCCCTGAGGGGTCAGCAAGGGAGACCGCAACAGGCCGACGGAGCGGCGTGAGTGTGGTGCTGTCTCTAAAGAAAGAGCGCGAAGCACCAGAGTCAAGTGTGAAGGTGTGCAAGGACTCAGTAGGTGCAGTACCTGAGAGAGGAGACGTACCAGCACCTGGAGCAGCAGACGCACTAGCACCTAGAGCAGCAGCCGCACTAGCACCTAGAGCAGCAGCCACAGTGCCCGGGTCGGGCGGGACACGCAGGTAACACTCACCCTCAGTAATATCATCAAGAGCATACATGGCAGCAAGGATAGCATCAAAGTCTAGATCAAAGATAGGCACATTCTGCAGAAGCAGATCATGCCAACGAGGAAGCTCAACAGCGTCAGGAAACTGGGTACGCCAAGCGTCAGTCAGGCGGCCGAAGCAGCGCTGCATGGTGTGTGGGAGACCACACACCTCCACACTACGAGTGCCTGTGCGAAGAACGTACGTGCAGGGACCTGCACCCCCAGACCTCCCACGCCCAGCGTACCACTCACGAAGCTGCTGAACAGACGGGGTCTCACGGGTGCGCAGCTGCTGCTGACGCTGGCCGCCACCAAGGCCTCCACGCTGCGTGGCTGCACCGCGACCAGCACCACCTCCTCCGTTACCTCCACCACCGCTGCCGCCGCCTCCATCGCCTTCGCCACCACCTCCACGGCCTCCACTGCCGCCACCGACGCCCCCACCCCCGGGACCACCCCCACCATCACCTCCACCTCCTCCACCGCTTCCTCCACCGCCCCCTCCACCACCCTTGCTTCCCTTGCCCTTGCCAGTGCGGCGTCGCCCACTAGGGGCAGACGCAGCGCCGACCTCCTCAGTGCCAACGAGGTCGACAGCAGCAGCAGAGGCAACAGAGGGGAGAAGGGGGACAGGGGAACACCCCTCAAAGAGGGGGGTGCGATGGTCGCCGCGAGAAGCCCCAACAGCTAAGATACTCTTCTCAGCTGCAGCAAGGCGCTCCTCTAGCAAGTCGACAGTCAGCTCGGTAGGGCAAAGGGAGAGAAAGTGATCCCTGACTGAGGAGAGAGAGTCAGGGAGGCGGGTGACTAGGTAGTAAAGGGTGATGTACATGGGGGGGGAGTTCGTGGGAAGAAACTCAGTGGGAAGGGCAGCGCGGTAGCGAGCGTCACTAGTGCGGAGGTGAGCAACTAGGTCAGCAACTGTGGCAAAGGCGGCAAGGTCAGGAAAAAGGTACGGCAGCATGAGGCGGCTGAAGGCAGCAGTGGTAGGGGAGGAGTAGCGTGCAACTACAGCGTCGTACAGAGCCCTAGCACTCTTGTACTGACTAAAGTGCGCGCGCTCAGTAGACGGCAGGTGATTGCGCACAGCAAGACGAGCAGCAGCATCGCGCGTGAGCCACTGCGAGCGAACAGTACTGTCAGCATCAGCAGTAGGGGCAGTAGAGGCGCCAGACGTGAGATCGAACAGTGAGAGACCATCCTTGCTATCGCACTGTAGGAAAAGCTGCAGATCATCTAGCCAGACCTCAAAGTCAACAGCTCGACCCTCAGCATCAAAGGTAAGAACATTGAGACTAGCCATGACAGGAGAAACAGCAGGCTAGCAGCAGCAGCAGTGCAACTCGGCTAAGCAGGCTAGGCAGGGCGGCGCAGCTCGGCAGGGCGGTGTGGCTCGGCAGCGCGGCGCTCTTACCAGGGGAGAGGCTGGGGCAGGGCCGGGGTAGGGCCGGGGCAGTTCAGGAGCAGGGCCGGGGCAGGGCCGGGGCAGTTCAGGAGCAGGGCCGGGGCAGGGCCGGGGCAGAGCCGGGGCAGGGCCGGGGCAGGGCCGGGCCAGGGCCGGGGCAGTTCAGGGGCAGGGCCGGGGCAGGGCCGGGGCAGTTCAGGAGCAGGGCCGGGGCAGGGCCGGGGCAGAGCCGGGCCAGGGCCGGGGCAGTTCAGGGGCAGGGCCGGGGCAGGGCCGGGGCAGTTCAGGAGCAGGGCCGGGGCAGTTCAGAAGCAGGGCCGGGGCAGGGCCGGGGCAGGGCCAGGGCAGGGCCTGGGCAGGGCCGGGGCAGGGTCGGAGCAGGGCCGGGACAGGGCCGGGGCGAGGCCGCGACAGGTCCGGGGCAGGGCCGGGGCCAGGCCGCGGCAGTGCAGGAGCAGGGCCGGGGCAGAGCTGCGACAGGGCTGCAGCAGGGCCGGCGCAGGGCCTGACGGGGCCGAGAACTGGGCCTGACGGGGCCGTACGGGGCCTCTAACGGGGCCTGACAGGGCCTTACGGGGCCTGACGGGGCCTTACGGGGCCTTACGGGGCCTTACGGGGCCGTACGGGGCCTAACGGGGCCTTAAACGGGGCCTGACGGGGCCTTACGGGGCCTTACGGGGCCTTAAACGGGGCCTGACGGGGCCTTACGGGGCCTTACGGGGCCTTAAACGGGGCCGTAAACGAGGCCTTACGGGGCCTGACGGGGCCTTACGGGGCCTTACGGGGACTTAAACGGGGCCGTAAATGGGGCCTTACGGGGCCTTACGGGGCCTTACGGGGCCTTAAACGGGGCCGTAAATGGGGCCTTACGGGGCCGTACGGGGCCTTACGGGGCCTTATGGGGCATTAAAAGGGGCCGTAAACAGGGCCTTACGGGGCCTTACGGGGCCTAACGGGGCCTTACGGGGCCGTAAACGGGGCCTTAAGGGGCCTTACGGGGCCTTACGGGGCCGGAAAAAGGGGCCTTACGGGGCGGGCGCTGGCTCTAAGGGCAGGCGCAGGGGCCGCGACGGGCCTCGAAGGGAAGGCGCGACGCGCGCGTCGAGCAGGCAGTGACGAATTTCAGTGGTGGGCCCTTTTTAAAAATTCTCGAAACTAGCTCTATACCATGTGAGAAGGATTGACGAAAGAATGGATAAACTAGAAAATGAGATGGGTACAAATAGGAAACACATAAGTGTTGTACCCTCTAAGAGCTACCCCACTACAGCCTAAATAGACCATAGCAGATATAAGTCTGACATTCCTGTCAAGGAACTCAGCAGGGACGGTAGCGCGGTAGCGAGCGTTGCTAGTGTGGAGGTGGGAAACAAGGTTTTCTACCGTGGCAAAGGCGGACAGCTCGGGGAACAGGTAGGGCAGAAGCAGACGGCCTAGAGCAGCAGTGGCAGGCGAGGAGTAGCGAGCGACTACAGCGTCGTACAATGCCTGTGCTGTCCTGTGCTGTTCGAAGTGAGCACATTTGGCTAACGGCAGGTGGTTGCGAATGGCTAAGCAGGCAGCAGCGTCGCGAGTAAGCCACTGTGAGCGAGTCGCACTGTCAGCTGTGGCGGGAGGGGCGGTAGCGGCGCCTGACACGAGGTCAAACAGCGAAACACTGTCCCTAGAATCGCTCAGTTGGTACAGCTGTAGGTCGTCAAGCCACGTGTCAAACTGAATCGGTCTGCCCTCATGATCAAACGCGAGAACTCGAAGCGAAGCCATAGCGGCGCAGCGGGGAGCGAAGAACACAGGGCACGCAGCAGCAGCAGTAGGAGCAGTAGCAGCAGCAGAGGGGTCGAGGGGCCAGGGGGGCCAGGAGCAACGGGCCGAGGGGCCGGGGGGCCTAGTGGCGACGGGCCGGGGGGCCTAGGGGTGACGGGCTGCGGGGCTAGGAACGAAGGGGGGGCCGAGGGGCCGGGGGCCTAGGGGCGTCGGGCCGCGGGGCCAGGAGCAACGGGCCGAGGGGCCGGGGGGCCTAGGGGCTACGGGCCGCGGGGCCAGGAACGAAGGGGCCGAGGGGCCTGGGGCCTAGGGGTGACGGGCCGCAGGGCCAGGAACGAAGGGGCCCAGGGGCCGGGGGCCTAGGGGCGACGGGCCGCGGGGCCAGGAACGAAGGGGCCGCGGGGCATGGGGCCTAGGGGCAACGGGCCGCGGGGCCTAGGGGCGATGGGCCGCGGGGCCAGAAACGACGGGCCGCAGCGTAGGGGCGATGGGCCGCAGGGCCTGGAACGACGAGCGACGGGTCGCGGGGCCAGTGGCGACGGGGCCTAGGGTGACGGGCAACGGGGCGACGGGGCCTAGGGCGATGGGGCCTAGGGGCGACGGGCCGCGGGGCGACGGAGCCTAGGGCGAAGGGCCGAGGGGCGACGGGACCGAGGGCGACGGGGCCTAGGGGCGACAGGCCGTGGGGCGATGGTGCCTAGGGCGAGGGGCCAAGGGGCGACGGGGCCGAGGGCGACGGGGCCTAGGGGCGACTGGCTGCGGGGCCTAAGGGCGAAGGGCCTAGGGGCGACGGGCCTAGGGCGACGGGCCTAGGGGCCTAACTATCGCGACAGGCAGTAGGGGCAGCGCAAGGGCTGCAGAGGGTGGCTAGCGGGGTAGTGCTGTGGTGGGCCCAAGAAAAAAAACGGTCGTAGTGGAGGACCTGCTCTGAAACCATGTCAGAATAATGAACGAGAATGAATGAACTATGAAACAGTTGGGTACAAGTACTAACCCTGATTGGGTTGTACCCCTTATGGGCTACCCCACTACAGCCTATACAAATGTAAGCACTATATGTTCTGACACGACGGTGACGATTCCCTTGCTCGCCGAAGTCGACGAGCCTTCTGTTGAGGATGTTGTGGAGGTTCTTCCACCTCCCCTTGTTCTTGCTCCTCCCTCCCCCGTCGCAGATCGGCCTGCGTCGACACCTGTGTCGGCCACCAGCGATGAGGGGAGCCTTGAGGCATCGCCTGTGGTGCCGGCCAGTGGCATCACCGGCGGCCGACAAGGCGCCAAGCTCGTCGACCAGGACGGGAAGCCGTCGACGACAGGGGAGCAGCAGAGAGGGGAGCCAGTCGAACGGGAGGCAGCAGCAGGGGTGGTGAAGTTAGTCGGCTATGTGGACGCCGACGACACCGGCGACAAGCAGAACCGGACGAGCACGGGTGGCTCCGCGTTCTTCTTCGGAGGAGCCGCTGCCTCCTGGTCAAGCCAGCGCATCAATTGTGCGACGCTCTCCTTGACCGAGTCGGAGTACGTCTCAGCCACGGAAGCCGGCAGAGAGGGGCGCCAAATTCGCTTCCTTCTTGCAGAGTCCTGCTGCTCGATGCTGTGACACCGACGGTCCTTCGTATGGACAAGAAGTCGGCCATCACGGTCGCCGAGGGCTCGGGGCTGCAGGGAAACCTCAAGCACATGGAGCAGCGATATGCCTGGCTGCAGCAGATGGTGAAGAGCGAGAAGTTCGTGCTGTGGTACATCTCGACCACCGAGCAGCCGGCCGACTTCCTAACGAAGGTGCTGCATTTTCCGGCCTTCAACCGGTGCTCCGCCGCGATCAGCCAAGTGCGCCTGGCTGATGCGAAGAGGTCGACGACGTGCAGTAGTAGGTGCCATGCCCTTCTGCATGGCTGGTGCGGTGACGGTGTGCTATGTCAAATTAGGCTCATAACTCACTGCTTAGTTACCTAGGGTTTTGGCTAGGAAACGTGAGTATGGAGATGAAGGTTTGGCAAAAGAGGATGATTGATTAGAAAGGAAGGTACAAGTAGGAGAAAGGGTGGGCAAGATGGTGCACCACCAACAATAACAGTAACACTACACAGTAGCTACACTAGCAGGCAGTTATAAGAAATTTACAATTTCTAACATGCAGTCGACAGGGGAGCAGCAGACAGGGCGGTCGACAGGGGAGCTGTCGAAGTCAGCAGGAGGTGAGCAGCCGGTCAAAGGTTCGAAGCAGCTGGTCGACGACGTGACCGTCGACCAAGAAGGGGAGCTGTCGGCAGGAGAAGAGTCCACCGACAGCGATGTGGTGGAGGTTCCGGTCGAGAAGCCTGAGCTGCGACGCACAGGTCGAACTCGGAAGCCGCCGGAGAGGCTGGTCTTCCACGCCTGCCTGCCCCCAGCTGCCTTCACCACGGTGTACGATGAAGTCGAGGATGACATGCTCTACGACGACGCCGAAGATGACGTCGACCTGCCGGAGTTTGACCCCGACGTACACGCTGACCCCGAACACCGCTGGGACATCGCCACGATGACGGTAAAGGAAGCGCTGGCGAGCTGGAAGGGCGAGATGGTGAAGGCCGCCATGGAAGAAGAGATCCGCAGCCTTGTCGGCAGGGGCACTTGGGAGCTGGTCGAACGCCCACGCGGGGTGAACATCATGAAGAACCGGTGGGTGCTGACGACCAAGTACCGCATCGACGACACCGTCGAGCGCGAGAAGGCGAGGCTGGTCGTGAAAGGGCTTCACGCAGGTGTATGGTGCCGACTATGACAAGACGTACTCATTGGTGAGCAGCTACGTCACGCTGAGGATCATCCTCAGCATCATCGCCGTCCTCGACCTCATCCTGGTGCAGCTCGACATGAAGAACTCTTTCCTGCAGAGCAAGCTCGACAGGGTGCTCTACATGTACCAGCCGGACTACTTCGATGACCGGCCGGGTGTGTAAGCTGCTGAAGAGCCTCTACGGGCTGAAGCAGTCACCGCTGCTGTGGTACAGGGCTCTCGACATTGTGCTGCTGGGCACTGGCTGGAAGAAGAGCCATGTCGACACGGCGCTCTACTTCAAGGCCGGCGACGACGGAGTGACCTGCTGGGTGCTGGTCTACGTCGACGACCTCCACGCCGCCAGCAGCAG